CCCCCCCCCCCCCCGAGGGATGATAATGGGAAAATTATCTGCTTTACATTCTGAGGGCGCTTCCCAAACATCCCCCAAAATACCTAAAACTAGGGAGACATTGGGGGGTATCGATCTGCTATAAAGAGGACCTGTGACCGGAGATTTCACATTGCCTCCTGCTGCACCCGGAGTGTCGTCCTCGGCTTCCTCTCCTCCCACCAGACGATGATGATGATGATGATGATGATGATGATGACGACGGATCCTTTTATCTTCTGTATTTGCAGCGAGGATTTGGAGAAAGATGTGGAGTTTGAGGTTGTCGGAGACGCACCAGAAAAGGCTCCGCAGCAGGCGCCGGAAGAGGCCAGCACCAGTATCGCCAACGGCAGCGATGACGGAGCACAACCCTCAACATCCACAGGTGAGGAGAGGGGAACCGGTCTCGGTTACTAATGTCCAAAGGGGGAATTTCTCACCCCCTCCCCTATAGCAGGAACATTGGCTCTAGACAGGTCTCTGCACCAGAGGAGCTTACACTCATCTCCCCCCACAGTCACATCAGTCTCTGTATAGAGGAGCTTACACTCTAATGTCCCCTCCCCCCACAGTCACATCAGTCTCTGTACAGAGGAGCTTACACTCTAATGTCCCCTCCCCCCCAGTCACATCAGTCTCTGTACAGAGGAGCTTACACTCTAACATACACCCTGTTGGGGTGTCTGGCCCTAGTGCTGGTTCCGCGCTGTCTTGTAGTACCGGTTCTGATCCTGACGCTCTTTTCGTTCTCCATTCAGCGCCGGAACAGGATGACGTGTTGTTCGTGGATTCGGAGGAGGAGGTTCCATCATCATCATCATCTTCCGGCAACGCCGACGTGAACATGGAGACCACCACCCTGAAGAGGAAGCTGTCGGACGATGACGTTGTCAGCAGCAAGAAGAAGCGCCTGGACCCGGCCGACGACGACGTCATCCCGCTGGACTGACGCGCGTGCGCCGCTACGAATTAATTTTCATATTTTGTCATGTGACTTCTGTTAGGGTCATGTGACTTCTGTTAGGGTCATGTGACTTCTGTTAGGGTCATGTGACTTCTGTTAGGGTCATGTGACTTCTGTTAGGGTCATGTGACTTCTGTTAGGGTGTGTCAAACGTTGGTACCTAGAACGCCCGTCCCCCCCCTCGTCACGCCACCCCCCATCGAGTGGCCCTTCTCTGACGTTGGGAAGCCGTGATTGTTGGTGGGCGTTGTGGGCGGGGCCTCTTCCTCGGTTACACGCTTAGCGCGCGCTGCACTGTGGTATCCGGATGAAGAGTTTTTTTGTATTTATGTTTGTTACTTATTATTTTTTTTTATACCTAGGTTAGAAAAGGGACTTTCTAGAGCCGAATGTTTCTCACACCCTACAGAGCGCTGCGTCGCGCCCTCGGCACCCTGCGCGGGGGGCGGGGCTCTCCATCTGCTCAGTACATTACTGTAAGCCGGGTGCTGCTGTCCATGCTCGGCAGAACTCTGTTTCAGGTTATTTATATTCCTTGTTTTGTAAAATGCAATACTGCTCCCAACTGTAACCTCTGAAAGGACCAAATAAAATAAGTCTTGTATAACCCGTGCGTGACGACTCTTCCTGGGGGGGCCGCTGCGAGGGACGGGCCCCTCCTGGGTGGGCTGGAGGCCACTGCGAGGCACTGGCCCCTCCTGGGTGGGCTGGAGGCCGCTGCGAGGGACTGGCCCCTCCTGGGTGGGCTGGAGGCCGCTGTGAGGGACTGGCCCCTCCTGGGTGGGCTGGAGGCCGCTGTGAGGGACTGGCCCCTCCTGGGTGGGCTGGAGGCCGCTGCGAGGGACTGGCCCCTCCTGGGTGGGCTGGAGGCCGCTGCGAGGGACTGGCCCCTCCTGGGTGGGCTGGAGGCCGCTGCGAGGGACTGGCCCCTCCTGGGTGGGCTGGAGGCCGCTGAATCCCGCTGGACTGACGCGCGTGCGCCGCTACGAATTAATTTTCATATTTTGTCATGTGACTTCTGTTAGGGTCATGTGACTTCTGTTAGGGTCATGTGACTTCTGTTAGGGTCATGTGACTTCTGTTAGGGTGTGTCAAACGTTGGTACCTAGAACGCCCGTCCCCCCCCTCGTCACGCCACCCCCCATCGAGTGGCCCTTCTCTGACGTTGGGAAGCCGTGATTGTTGGTGGGCGTTGTGGGCGGGGCCTCTTCCTCGGTTACACGCTTAGCGCGCGCTGCACTGTGGTATCCGGATGAAGAGTTTTTTTGTATTTATGTTTGTTACTTATTATTTTTTTTTATACCTAGGTTAGAAAAGGGACTTTCTAGAGCCGAATGTTTCTCACACCCTACAGAGCGCTGCGTCGCGCCCTCGGCACCCTGCGCGGGGGGCGGGGCTCTCCATCTGCTCAGTACATTACTGTAAGCCGGGTGCTGCTGTCCATGCTCGGCAGAACTCTGTTTCAGGTTATTTATATTCCTTGTTTTGTAAAATGCAATACTGCTCCCAACTGTAACCTCTGAAAGGACCAAATAAAATAAGTCTTGTATAACCCGTGCGTGACGACTCTTCCTGGGGGGGCCGCTGCGAGGGACGGGCCCCTCCTGGGTGGGCTGGAGGCCACTGCGAGGCACTGGCCCCTCCTGGGTGGGCTGGAGGCCGCTGCGAGGGACTGGCCCCTCCTGGGTGGGCTGGAGGCCACTGCGAGGGACGGGCCCTTCCTGGGTGGGCAACAGTCACTGTGAGGGAGGACCCTTCCTGGGCCAGCTGGAGTCTGAGGGAATCCCCTTCATGAGGCAGGCTGCTATCTAGGTGGGCTAGGCTTACGGCAAGAGAGGCCCCATGCTGGGCTGGCTTGTGTCACTGGGACAGTAGCCCCATTCCTTGGTGGGCTACGATCATTGAGGCGGAGCCCCTTCCTAGGCTGGTTGGGGTCACTGCAAGGAAAGCCCCTTAATGGGCAGCTGGTTACAGTGACATTACACCAGGTCAGCTGGTGTCCCCTTCATGGGCAGTGTAATGTCACTGTGAGGCAGGCTGCTATCTAGGTAGGCATAGGGCCACAGAAAAAGGGGTCACGTCCTGGACTGGCTTGTGTCACTGCAATAGTAGCTGCCTCCTTGGTGGGCAGCTGGTCACAGTGAGGCAGGCCCCTTTCTAGGTGGGCTAGGCTTATGGCAAGCTGGTTACAGTCACAGTGAGGGAGGACCCTTCCTTGTATGTGATGGCCATAAATTTTAAACCTTTTTAAAAGCGCCTTCAGCTCCGATCTGAGCACAACTCTGGGATTGCCGACTCGCCTTCAACTAGCGCCGAAAGTGACGGCCAGCAATCTCCTGACACGTTGTCCTCCATATTCCCAAACCAGAATCAAGGTTTTCCAATTTCGAAACCGGAGGATGTGTATTTCGGGGGGGGGCCGTTTATAAACGGCACCTCAGCAAACCGTCACGCTCCCTTTACTAGCGAGGTCCTCGGATGCCGCGATGATCCTCAATGCAATCTATTAGACATGTGCAATGATTCGTTCCGCAACGAAATTCGGACATTCGGATGTATCCGAATTACAGATATAACTCATGCAAACGAATCCGAATTTCCGAAAATTCATTAGCGGTAGTTCGTTTTCGTTTCTTGTTCGTTTGTTGCAGCAAAGTGACAGAGAAAAAAAAAAAAATTATTTCCCCCCCTCAAATGTCACTTTGCTGAAACAAAAACGAACGTTCGAACAAATTACCGCTAATGAATTTCCTCCGAATCCCAATTGACTGTCACACCCGAATCCCGAGAGACGAAATAACACAAAATCCCAATCAAAACACATTTATTTGCCAGTGCCCACGTCTACAATCTATTCCACCGAAACAAGGGGAGGATACCGTATGGAGTGGCGGCTGCAATCTCTGCCCAGCTCGGGGCAACTTTAAGGCCCCATTCACACTGCGCGATTCGCAAATCGCGTGTTTGTATTGAGCAAGCTTGAATCGCGGCTAAATCCGCTCCAAAAAGGGTCCTGCTGTAGTGACGCACGACCCGCGGCAGCAGGACCCTTTGCCCCATTGAGAAGCATTGGAGAGCGATATCGCGGGAATTACCGCGCGATAAATCGCTAAGTGTGAACGGGGCCTTAAGGAGAAGTACGGGGTCGGGGCTTTCCCCCATAGTTCTCCTCAGGGTAACGGGAGGACACAAACTAGCGTCCTCCCGTCACCCTAAGCTCAGTATATAGGGAGCTACAGCTCGCGGTATACTGAGACGCAACTTCTTCAGAGTTTAAAATCACCAACAATCTGGTGTCCCCCTCTCTCATTCTGCCTTTGTGTCACCTTCTGTATTTGGCCTGGGTGTCCAGCTCGATGAATGTGTTAGGAGAAGTCAGCCAAACATTATCTGGATTTAACATTCCCGACATAAAATCTCAGGTCACTGCCGGTGATGGGCGCTCACACATTTATCTTTTATTTTCTGGTCCTGCCTGAAACTTCATCCTTTCTGGGACACATCGCAAGCCTGGACCAAACACCGTCCCCCAGGAGGAAGTACCAATGATCACTTCCTGTCTCATCCTTTCTGGGACACATCGCAAGCCTGGACCAAACACCGTCCCCCAGGAGGAAGTACCAATGATCACTTCCTGTCTCATCCTTTCTGGGACACATCGCAAGCCTGGACCAAACACCGTCCCCCAGGAGGAAGTACCAATGATCACTTCCTGTCTCATCCTTTCTGGGACACATCGCAAGCCTGGACCAAACACCGTCCCCCAGGAGGAAGTACCAATGATCACTTCCTGTACCAATGATCACTTCCTGTCTCATCCTTTCTGGGACACATCGCAAGCCCGGACCAAACACCCTCCCCCAGGAGGAAGTACCAATGATCACTTCCTGTACCAATGATCACTTCCTGTCTCATCCTTTCTGGGACACATCGCAAGCCTGGACCAAACACCGTCCCCCAGGAGGAAGTACCAATGATCACTTCCTGTACCAATGATCACTTCCTGTCTCATCCTTTCTGGGACACATCGCAAGCCTGGACCAAACACCGTCCCCCAGGAGGAAGTACCAATGATCACTTCCTGTATCAATGATCACTTCCTGTCTCATCCTTTCTGGGACACATCGCAAGCCCGGACCAAACACCCTCCCCCAGGAGGAAGTACCAATGATCACTTCCTGTATCAATGATCACTTCCTGTACCAATGATCACTTCCTGTCTCATCCTTTCTGGGACACATCGCAAGCCTGGACCAAACACCGTCACCCCAGGAGGAAGTACCAATGATCACTTCCTGTCTCATCCTTTCTGGGACACATCGCAAGCCTGGACCAAACACCGTCACCCCAGGAGGAAGTACCAATGATCACTTCCTGTCTCATCTCCTGCATGCAGCGTGAGCTTCCATCCAGAACCACGAAGGAACATCTCCCACCCTCTGCTTCTACAAAATGACTGGAATAAAGTTCATGGAAGACCTTTCCGGAACTCTTCACAACTCAGAAGTTCCCCGGCATAGAATTCATGTCCTCTCCCCGATATAAAGTACGGCTCTATATATGAACATAGGGGAACGAAATGTATAATCCCCACAGTTGGAATATCTCCCCAATCTGCCGCCCTACAAGTAGTAATGCAACCCAATGTCTAGTGCAGGGGCGTAACTAGAAATCACAGGGCCCCATAGCAAAATTATGTATGGGGCCCCGTGATTTCTAGTTATACCCCTTGCAGAGCCCAAGAGATCACGGTGATCCAAACAGCGGCATGTTCGAACCCATAGCGACCCAGGCGGCCCGCACGGCATCAGGGGGGTGTGCTGCCCGGGCCCAATAGCGGCCGCCTGAGTCGCTATGGCTATTGTTACGCCACTGGTCTAGTACCATCATAGGAACCTCAGCCACTCGAGAACCTGACCATCTTGAACCTTCCCCGACCAGTAAGAGTCCCAATCTTACCACCCCGGACACACACCATATTTTTTGGATGCCATTGTTTCCTGACCCAATACATGGCAGCATACAA